TATTATATATATATATATATATCAATAAAAGCTGTAATTTATAGGCGCTATCTCATAGATTACGATTTGTCGGATCATTTATATAAGAATACGAGTCCCCAGCATAATTTTATTAAAAATAAAATATAATATAATGTACACTTTACCCCTGAATTGAAATCGAGCTAGAAGATATCTTATTGATAAAATTATTGATTTCGATTAATTGTCGATTCTCATAATATCCGAGCAAGAATCTTCTAAAATTAGATATCTTGAACGATATAGCTTTATAGACTCCGGGCAATGAGATATTATCAAGATAATCGATCTAATAAGCAATCGATCATGATTATTCGATTCTGAATTCTCTATATTAGAATCATATTTCTGAATAATAAGACAGATACCAGATTATCAGATTAATGAATCTGATGAATGCATACTTTTGATTATCTATTCTTGAATTCCCAAATCAAAATTCGATATCTATTTAGATGGCAAGTCTTTATCGAATAAATAGATCTGCTAAACTACAAAAGAATATATATATATATAATCTTGAAAGCTCTGTATCAGAATCATATTTCTCAATATGAGAGCAAATTACAATTAAGATATTGAATTTGTTTGGCTTCTAAATAATCTTCATTATAGGTTCTTGAATTCTCTAGATCAGAATTATATACTTGAATAGAAGAAAATATCACTATCAAAGAAAAAGATCTATGAATAAAGAACTTTATATGAATAGTCTTGAATTCCTTCAGAACCTTGAATTTATTAGTCTAGAACATATAATAGAAAGATAAACCACTATCAAGATAACCGATTTCATGAATAAAGATTTTGATTATTTAATCTTGAATTTATTATATAAGAATCAGATTTTTCAGTAAGAAATGAATTATTATTAAGATATCAGATCTCATAAATAAAGAATCTATATTATATATCTCAGAGTCCCTCTTTTCAAAATCATCAATTTATATAAGAATTCCAAATAAAATAAAGAGATTTCATATAATGAGCTAATTCCTGAGATTTCGATGCCAAACCTATATGAACTATTAAAAGAAAATATTAGAAATATCAAATCAAAATATTAGAGTATATTCATAAATATATTTCGATATTTCTCATAAAATATAATCTAATTCTTACTATATTCTTATCGGAAATATAATTCGATTATTAATATTTTTTGAGAAATATTCCTATGAAAATATAGAAGATAGACGAATTCTAAGCTCCAAATATTACTAATCAAAAATCTTATAGATTGCTTTTCTTATAGAAGAGATCACGTCCTAGAATCGTCTTCTTCGCTAAGATTGCGGAATCCTAGCTATGCTTGCAGGTAAATAATTCTTAATAGCATATCTTTAAATAAAACACTGCTAAAAGAATACAATTTATCATTATCGACAGAACTCTAACAAATATAATAGAAATACTCAAAAAGACTATAGAAATTATATTCATTTTTTCATTATTCTCCTTTTATTAAAAAATCTGAAAAAAGGCCTATAAATAAATAAATATATATATATATATCGAGTCCGGTAATTACATAATACTTTCATATTTTGAATTCATACGAATATCATAACGATTCTTACTACATTTTATATATTCCATAAGCTCCCTCTATCTACCATTAGATAGAATTACTTCAATATTTCTTTTAGTATCATAATATCAATAATATCAGAAATTTCCAAATATAACCTTAGTAAATTTATTTTCTTGCTTATTATTATTATTGTTATTAAATATTTCTAAAGATGTGAACTAAAAACATCTAATAATAAAGATTAGAATAATTCTAACGAGCTTTTTTAATATTCAATAAGAGAATAAGAGAGAATCGTAAGACTAATATTAGAAAGTAGAATATAAAAGATAATAGGGAGTGAGAATAAAAATAATAACACTAAAATTCAAAATAATTCTTAATTGAAATCAAATAATTCTTCATAATTATCCCAAGGCCTCAAAATTCGAAAAGAAAGATATTTATACTTCTATGATTTTAGTTTTTTAAAAATTTGTTGTTTGAAGAAAGAATCTGAAGATTTCAATTCGTCTCGGATGATCTCCTCCTAGATTTTCAATATATATCTGCATCACGCTTGTCGGTATTGTTGGATCTTGTGCGCCTTCGTGATTCTTTCGCTCTCCTTCTTCTCGGTACCAGCGATTATCCGCAGTGCCCTTACGGCCCAGTTCTGTAGCCTCCTCTCCTTGGTAGCTCAGACCCCTGCATCAGCTGTATGAGCGCGTGCCTCAGTCGGCAATTCTTCATGCTTTGGGTTGGAGTCCAGACTCTCTGCTCTTGAGGAAGAGGGTTGAGTGCCTTGGTCCCCTGTGCAAGCAAGCGCTCTCGTCTGTCCTATCTGTTCTGTTCCCTACACCCTGCACGAACCCTCCCCACCAAGAATACAGCCTCTGCCTAAACTCTTTCCTTCGCCAGGGCCAGGGTGCCCTACTCTCTCTGTCTCTCTCTCTTGCTTGCTTGCTTGCTTGCTTGCTTGCTTGCTTGCTTGGGGTATAGGCTCATGCAGAGAGCCCCGGCCCGAGGGCCAACCCCGCAAGGTGCGTGACGAGTTCTGTGCTCGTTCCCCTGGCTGAACTCCGTAGCCCCCGTCCCAAACCCCTTCAAAATATAACCGAGTAGACCTTGAGGGTTCTAGCCAGGTTATCCGAGGTCTCTCCACGTCAAGCTACTGGGGACTGCCAAGCACTGCACACAGTTAAAGGCACCCTAAACCGGAGTGTCCTCTCTCTCGCTTTTTCTCTCTCTCTCTCTCTCTCTCTCTCTCTCTCTCTTTGTTAGCTCGGCCACACCTGCCAGTCTAAGACAAAAATGTGGCCAGGCATTAGCGAAATCTGGCCCTAAAGAGAATCCCCGAGCGTTGTACGAGTGCCACCAATCAACATGAAAGTTTGTCAAAACTTGACACCCTAAAAGCATCTGGTACGATTCTGATTATGAGAACACTGATTTAAAGGGACCACGACAGGATTAGTAGCTGGTCAGGAAGACGGGCGAAGCTTGGTTTCATCCACGCGCACCGTCTCCTTGAGATAAGTCTAGCAGCAGAGAGGAATCTACATGCTCCTGTATGACCAGACTCTCGCGACGGTACGACTCCGTGTTGCATAGCAATCACATGAGTGTGCCAAGTGCAGACATGGAGCATTTGAATCTGTATGCCGCGGAATCGCACTCTGTCTCCCGACTGCCTTAGCTTGCATCTTCACACCAAGTCCTGGAGCCTGAATGCATTTCTGGGGCGGCCGAGGCTCTCATAGATGTTCTCTAGATTGCGCATCATACGGAAGTACAGCTGCGCGGGTGGCGTGATTTCGGCGGTCCTCAGTCCGTTGTCTTGCGTTCGAGACCCAAGCTGTGAATGGTTCAATTCTCAAAGCACCTATGAGCTGCGGTTTGACCAATGACTTGAGACCGTGCCGAAGCAGGAACTAAAAGAAGTGGCGCTGCCCGCAACTCTGCAGGAATAGTTGGGGGCAAAGTCTCATGATGATTTTCATTTAGAGTTTGATCAGGGTGCAGCGTCTCAGGCTTCAGTTTCAAGGCATTGCCAATCGTGAGGGGATCCGCTGCCGGGCCGCGACACCAACATCTCCTCAGGGATCCCTCAGCATTCACGCGGCGTCATTTTCGTGACTTCTCGGATGCAAACTTTCTGCACTGAAATCACAGGCCCCCTAGGTCTAAGTTTCAGGTGAGCTGCTGGCACCCAGCATGGCGCCAAGGAATCTGACCAGTTCGCGCCAAACGAGCATCTTCCCGCCGTCGAAGGCGTCAATGTACAAATCGCGCATCACTGCAGGTCCTCTCAATTCAAGGAACCAATGAACAAACAGGCCAACGGTTCCAGCCTTCAAACCATGAATATCCGGAAAGGCATGTCAGCATCTCACACATAAAGGCTGCTTGGCATCTGGCGACACAGCGGTGACGACAGAGAGAAGATCATACCTACTTTCGTATTTTGCCTAGCCGCTCACTTGCTACAAGGTCTCGGGTGCATGCCATGTAGGAGAAAAACTGTCCAACCCAATCAAGACAGTAAGACTGTCGGTCGTTCACTGCTGGTACTCTAATTGACAGCCACAATCCACAACACGACTACTGCATCTCTGCAGAATAACCGTCCCTAATCCGAAAATGTCCTGCAGACTCAGCCGAATCGGAGGCCCGGAGTGGGACTCGGATCAGCACGTGCCGGGGCATGTCCGCAAGGGGATGGCACTCAAGGCCGCAGCGGCGCGCCACGGCAGCCCAAACCTGGATGCTTTGGCACTTCCGAGTTCTTCTTCCACAAGTCTTGCGCATGCGGTTGGCAAAGCTGGTCTGCAGAGCTCATGTTCCTGGCCAAGACGCTACGGACAGCGAAATGGGAATGCCCTTCTTCCTTGCCAGCACCGCATGTAGCATGGAGTTCTCCTTGGCTTCAATCGGAGAGATCGACTCAGCTGTCGACTTGGATGTGGAAAGGTCAAAAAACGACGTTAAGCAAGGTACTGGCTCGTTGTTACACAAGTGGTTAAGGCCACCGCTACCGAAGCTTGGCAAGATATCCTGCATCATCTCCGCAATGAAACAAGCTTTAGACTGTTGCCTGATTTGCTCTCCTCTGCTATGCACTCATGCCACATTTCTTGCCAGGAATCTGGATCGTAATAGTTCTCCGCATTGCCCTGAAGGCCATACTCTGCAAACAGTGCCTCAGTGAATGCTTGGACCGACTCCGGTTTTCGCCGGGCTTTCGGTGCCATGCTGCCGTCGCATACTCATGAGGTAGGCTCGGAAACATCTGAAATTGAAGACAAAAGACATCGTAAGCAACCCCTGCTGTCTTGTCTCTATCTCTCTTCCTGCTCTTCTTCTTTTCAGGTCATCTTGCTTGCTTGCTACTGGTCGTACGGGTCAGGTCATCTTCTTCCTTCGGGTTGAGGGAGCGTGTCAGGCTCCCCGGCCCATGGGGCCCCCAGCGTTCTGGGGCTTTCAGGGAGACACTATACATCTCTCCTTGTCTCTCTCGTGTTGTCTGTGCTAGCATCTCAATGAGGCTGAAGAGCGGTATTCAGCGCCGCGATGATCGCTTTGGCCTCGTCCTGTTCCAACTGACTTGGGGCTCCGGGAAGCTATCAGTGCCTCCGCAAGGTGTCCCTGGATGACTCCCGTAGATGCTCGGTTCAAAAACACCACCATCTTTCATGCCTACCAAGCCCTTGTACAGGCCTACGCCTCTGGTCTAGCTCTTGTCGAATGGCCGGCTGCTCTTTCTCAACCGCCCTTGCACACGATTTGCAGCTGCTTCTCGTATGCTCTCGTCCCTTTCGGATGGTTGTCCCCTCTTTCTGAAATGCCCCGGTCCTTTTCGATCGGTTCGCTACTCTTTCCCGGCTGCTCGAGTTCTTGTCGCGAGGTATGCACCTCTTCTTCTTTAAATGCTCTAGTCACTAATCCTCTCACGCAGTTGGCCGCTCGTGTCTAAGATGCTTGGATCCCTTGCGAGCGGCTTGCTGTTGATTTTCAAGCACCCTAATGCATGTCGAATGTTTTTTCTCCTCTTTCTCCAACCTCCCATCTCTCTGTTCCGCCTCGAAAACGGGTTGTTCCTGCTTCTCAGATGCTCCAGTCCTTCGGGGTGGTTTGCAGTTTGCTCGTAGTTGTCCGTCTCGAGCGCCTTGCTCCCGTCTATTGAATGCTCCAGTCTTATTCTAAGCGGAAGCTGCTTTTCCTGAATTGCTCTAGTCCCTTTCGGGCGGCTTTCTCTTGCCAAGATGCTCTAGTTCATTTCGAGCGGCTTGTTCAGATAGCTGCTCTTTCGAGCAGCTTGCTTCCTGCCCTCCTTTCGTGCGATTCGTGCTCATTCTCAAACGCTCTATATAGTCCCTTTCGATCCATTTGCGTCTCACTCTCAACGCTCCAACCCATCCGGGCTCTGTGTTGCTCTCAAATGCTCTTGTCCCTTTCGAGCGGCTTGCTCAGCGGTCTCAGATGCTCCAGTCCCTTTCGAGCGGTTCGCTTCTGTTTTTTGAGCCTCTTTGAATGGGTTTGCTACTTTTTTTCAAAAGATCCAGTGCGTTTCCAGCGGTTTGCTCCTCGTTGTCCCCAAGCCCTTTTTGAACCCAGGCTCTGATCATCGTGCACCGCACAACGAAACCCTAAACCCTAAACTCTAAACCCTAAACCCTATAGACCCTAGACCCTTTTCTATAGACCCTAAGCCCGAAACTCTAAACTCTCAACCCTAATCGAACAACTCACCCCTCTTTCTCAACTCTCGAGTCCCTGCCGAGCAATTTGCTGGTTTTTCGCTTTTTCTGAAAAGCTAGTTTCCGTTCACATGGTTGCTGTTCGTTCTCAACAGCAACAGGATCCCTCTGTTGACTTTGTGGTGTTGAAGGCTCGAATCCCATTCGCGCGGTTTGCTTTCATTTCGCAGTTGCTCTACTCACTTTTCGAATCAACCGCTGCAGGCCCTTTCGCATGGTTTCTTGAAGGTTTCTAAACGGCTCTAGCCCTTTTGGAGAAGTTTGCTCCTCGCTCCCAAGTGCTGGAATTTGGGTCCCGCATCACAAGCCGAGGCAAGCACGGCAGGTATCCAAGTCGGCACTTCACGTTAAAGGATACTCGCTCAGGGAAGGACGCGCCAGCCTCCTTGTCAAATGCTATAATGTTAGTCTCGTGGCGCCCCCCCAAAGTAGACCCGATATTAAAATAGATCCTACCCAAGCGGACCTCGGAAGGAAGTCCGGTGGAGCTGTGCCGCGCACCCAACTCCTGGGCGCGTTGCGCAAGCTTCTCCTTGGCGCAATCAGCCTAGAGCTTCTCAGGATTGACATTCCACTGGCTCTTGTGTGCCACAGGAACTCCAACGGTTCAACACAGGAGAAGGCAGCTGTGCCATTTGCGACCCAAGTCTCCAAGGCAAGGCGCATGCCGCTGACGTCAGCAGTAGGGTAGCCCCACTGCGAGAGGATCAGAGCCTTTCGGTGGCGTGTGAATGTGGCGTCATCGGTACAGCAGGAGGCACAGGAATGCTGGACAACCTGGTCGACTTCCCTGATTTCCCTGCAGCTTTGCAGGAAACCTTTCGTTCTTGTTTCAAGCTGGTCACTGTCGCGGCGAGGATAGCCGAACACCCAGTAGGCTCTTGCAGTTTTGGCAACAAGCGTCCAATATACCAGCCGGATCCGGTCTGTGACAGACAGTGATATACATGATAAGCCATCCAAGTTGAAACGGAGACTTGGCCAACAAACAAGCACTGATCCGTCAACTCTACACCCTGAGCCCCAGCCGTCTCGACCAACTCCTTCAGTCTGCAAACGCCACTTCCCAAGCCTACAGCGCTCAAAGGCCAAGCAGCTCCCTCCTCTAACGTCGCCTGGGCAAGGGCAGCTGTAGCTACTGCTAAGACTACTACCAATGATACCGCTTCTGCTGTACATGCTTTCTCGCTACCTGTCGCTACCATTTCCATAAGCACTGCTGTTGCTAACGTTGGCACTATTATTCATGGTGTTGTGAAGCCTTATTTCTTCTGTTCTAGCTGCGATGACTTCTATTACTGCTACAACTTTGCTCATGATGACATGCTGCTATCATCACCAACTCAAGTCTTGTATTACATCCCTCAACCCCGAGGCTGGGATCTCGGACAGCTTTGGTCGGCTCGATCTTGATGAGATGCGTCCACCGCTCCACAGCCCAGGCATCCGTGATCCTTATAGCGCAGAGCGGAAGCTTTCCTTGGAAACCGCGGCTAAAAAGGGAAGCTTGCGGCTGGGGCAGTCTGTAAGGGGCTCGATCATCCGAAGGCCCCAACTGAACCACTTCAAACGAACTCTCCCTCAGCCGACCGAAGCAACTTGTGGCTTCCTTGCGAACCTCAGGTCGCCCCCCCCAAAAACAAACACACACACACATACACATACATACATACTTATATATATATATACATATAAATACAAATTTAAAACTCTCCATATATATATATACACATGTATGTACACCCCGAGCAAAAAGCCCGGAAGGTTTTCGACGTTGGCTCCAACGAGATGGCAGGAGAGGGTTCAGGGTGACATGCGCTTACAGATGTGACGGCTATGGTTAAACGGCCATGACGATACCGGAGACAAGCGTGATTGACATTGAAGATGACTGATGATGACGGTCCTGGTGTGTCCTGGTGATGGTGGTCGCAGTCAGGAATGTCGTGACCATTCTATCATCGTGTGTCCTTCTGATCAGAAAGGATACTGGATGCGTGCGTTTTGCGCCGCGCCCTTCAGCCTGGTCGAGACTGACAACATGACCAGCATGTCAACATGGACAGCTGATTCCGGGTTTAATGTGTTGCGGATGCCCGCCAGCTGCCTAAGGCAATACGGCTGCTTGTAGTGATGACCCGAGGGAATACCAATTTCATCAACGTCTGATGTACTGCCAGTCATTGCAGTGAGAGTCATGTAGTGACCGTGATGCAGTAGTGGTATTGGTAGTTGTTGCTGGTCTACTCCTGCTACTACTACCACTGCCACCACCACCACGACGACAACTGCTAGTACATAGCACCGCTGCCACCGCCACCACCACCACCGCCGCCACCACCACCACCACCACGACGACGACGCCTGCTGCTGCTGCTGCTGATAGTGCTACTGCTACTGCTACTGCTGCTGCTGCTGCTGCTGCTGCTAGCAGTACCAATACTGTACCGAATGCCTACTGCTCCTCAAGTCCGGCTCTTCTCTCTCAGAAGTATGCGCTGCTGGACGACGTGCACCGAGGCCCCCCGAGACTCCGACTTCCCGGCGGAGTCGCAGCGCTGCAGGGCCGAGGCCGTCAGCGGATGCCACGCGCCGCTTGGTCGACTTACACATACAAACTGTTTCTCTGGGCACAGACAACGAGAAGAGAGGAGACTCATATGTACTCTACTTACTGAAATCCTGAGTTGGTCGGACTTTCTGGAAAGTCCGAGTCTGTTTTTAGGTTGTTCCAGCTTCTAGTTTTTCTCTTCTGGCTTTGCCCAGATTTTCCTAGCCTTGTCTAGGTTCTCATAGAAACTGGAAGTTGAGATCGGAAGGCACCCCAAAAAGCCAATGACGAGAGTGGAGGAAGTGCTTGCTTTTGAGCACAGTGAAAGTATGTGCCAGGAGATATTGAAGCAAGAATGGTTAATGACAATGATGACGAATGAATGTTTTTACATTTCAAAGTTGTTCATAGTTGTTTATCCTAGCTTTCCTGGAAATTTCGGATGGTTCTAGAATTTTTGCAGCTGTAAGAAGATGGCTTGTCTAGAAGTGAAGCACCCAATGGACCTGCTTGAGATGAAGGTCGTGCTTTAGGGCTGAACCTTCTCCTGGCAAGAAGGTCCGTTGCAAGCAGGCCATGGTCTTAGTTAGTTTTGAGCCCGTAATGGGCTCTTTCCAGATGTTCGAGACAAGCGAAGATGAAGAGCACACGTACGGCCTCACGTCACTGAAACTCTTATAATATTTTTCGATTTCCCGCAGTATAGAACTGCCACATCATGGCACAGCATTGAGTAGCACTTGAAGCTGAATGATCGAACGTGATGGCAACGGCTCAAGCCACGATCCCAGTATAGCCCAGCGAGCCCAGCTCACTCCATCAGTCTCAGACCGAGCTTTCCGACAGCATGTCCGTTGCGCAGGTCGGAGACGGGGTGCAGAAGGTCAAGGACACCTCGGAG